TACACAAAATATTTGAAAAAGAATAAAAAAATTAGGTTTAGATCGAGATTGTAAAAAAGAGGAAATTCGACGACAAATATCATGTCATTAGCATTGTTACCTACAAATGAACTTAATAATTCAATGGAATTAATTATTGATACATTAAGTAATATAGATGATAAATATATAAAATTAACTGATGATGTAATAACAACATATATATCCGATCAAAAATTTGATGTTCAATTTTGGAATTTATATGATACGATTGATGTACGTCCACGTACTAATAACCATCTTGAAGAATAGCAAAATCTAGTATAATTCATGAAGAATAGCTTATTGAAGCTAAACAACGATATGAAATAACAAAAGATATTGAAAGTTATAAACGTTCAACACGAAGAAAAGCTTATTGATCTTTATTTGAATATGAAAAAATCCAATGATAATGATTCTGATTGATTTTGTGATGAGAATGAAATATATACCCATTCTATATTGTCTCTTTTGAAAACGCAAAAATTTAACTTTTTTTTCGTTCTTGATTACTAATCAAATTTATTATCTCTTTTGGAATTACTGAAATTTTCACATTTTTCGTTCTATTATCTCTTTTGGCCCCTAACTATAAAAAACACGCATATCACCAGGAAAAAAAGTCTCACTTCCTGTTCTGCAACGGATATATGTAGTTTTTTCACGCAGATCTAGTCTACAATTGCACTAATGATTTTTAGCCTGAATACACCAGAAAAGCCGTTTTTTTAGGTGGGCTAACAAAAATGCTATATCGTATATTTTAGCGAGAAAATCACTTCAGAGTTAAAAGCAAACTATTATTTACGTGAAATAATAACTTCAATAGTACATTCTGGGGGGATCATTGTAGTTCGAGATGTAGAAGTACCATCGAAATTATCTTGAACTACCATTATTAATTCAAAAATATTTTGTGCACCGAAGTTTCATGGCCCAAATTTTAGACTATTGGTTCTTGTACATCCCAATGTTATCGAATGAAACTATTTTCAAGTCTTAAATGTTAAAGCCAAACAATCTTCTTACAAATATTAACAGCGTCTGCTTAAATTCATTCTCCTCGTCAAATAATGCAATAGCCAGCTTCAGACTTTTGTACCTAATTCATGTATTCTCAAAAAGAGACGTTTAAGGTGGAACATGCATTATTTAGTGGGTGTGCTGAGTGGTACAGCGGACCCATTTTTGCTACGGTTCAGAGCGTAGTAAATAAAAGGACAATATAGAATGGGTATATATTTCATTCTCATCACAAAATCAATCAGAATCATTATCATTGGATT